GAAAACCTTTTGCCCCTTTGTCGTTTCACTGTGTCAGCAAATCGAGTCATCACCCAACTGTATCGTCCGTGGGCAATTTTGCTGTTTTAGCTGGTAAAAAGTCAATTTCAAAAATTTCACCTAAATTGAGAAATTTTTTTCCCCAAGATAGCTAAATGTGTGAGGAATAAGGCACTAATAGTTTTTTGTCAATCATTCTTTCATAAGCTCTTGTGTTTTCTTAAAAATTCGGAGTTTTCGTTATGCATGATTTACTCTTCTAATTTTTGTGTATTTTAAAAAACTTGTGAACATTTTGGATCAGGGTGAAAGTTTTACAGATAAATATATACTATGCTTTAAATAATACATGATCGTTGTATTATCCATCTTTTTTTAATTGTTTATATTTAAGCATTATTTATAATCAATGATACTACTTATAAGTATAATACTTCATGAATGATTTTGATCTGCTGTAGGGTGAGATCCGGCCTTGTTTCAAGCACTACCACATTTAACAAAGGTTTATGCTTATTATAGAAAAAAAATCTTGCCCTAACCTGCCCCCTTTTTTTTAGAGAATTTTCTTTATAACGCGACACAAAGCGTTCGGGCACCCGGTCTCAACCGAGTTTTCCTATAATGAATGTTTATTGAATTATATATTATGTAATTGATTAGTTGTTTTTTGTTAGTTATAACGTATTATTATCTATTAGACTATTGTTATTGTTATTTATTACGTTTATGATGTGTAATATAACTCACTTTATATAAATATACAATTATGTATATAAATACATATGATTACAAATATTGATCATTTATTCATTTATTATATAACATACAGTTTATTATTATTATATATCATTGCATCATACTATCATATTTTGTTGAAAACATTCAATACGTGCTCCTCACAATTGTAATACTTCATTAATGTTTTCCTATACTTTTCGATAAATCCCAGAATATTTTTAAGCGTCATGATATTTGACAAATTTTTGTGTTTATTATACATAAAGAATTTTTCCTCATATTTGTCCTCTCTTTTTGTAAAGTGTTTTTTCTATTCCACGACACGAATTGTTTGAGCACTTAGCTGCGGCGGGATAATTGTGTAATTAATATTTATTGGGCTATCGTATAATATGTAATTGATTGTTACTATATATTAGTACTTATTGTATTATTATTTATTTATTACATGGTATATAATATAAGACATTCTATATAAATATGCAATTCCTTATAAGTGTATAATAAAGAATATTTAGTGTTTATTTATTTATTTGTTATATACTTTATAATTGAGTATCATTATATATTATTAATTATGTAACCATATTTTCCCGAAAAAATTCAATATATAGTTGCTTTTAATTTTGGCTAACTAAAACGACAAAATTGCTCACTGTGCGCCCGTTGCAGCGAACTTGGCGCTCTCGTCTGAATGGTCAGATTTGAAGTTGCACGGCTTGCTCACCCGAATTTTAGGTTCTGATATATAATTCGCTGAGGCGCTCACGCACACTAATCGGATCGCGCGACAAAGAGCATGGAGAGCCGTTTCCGGACTCGCAATTGGATTTCTCGGAGCGACTGTTTCTGCTTCTATGACGTCACGAGTGCCAGGATCGCTGCAACGGACGGTAAGTACGTGACTCGCTCTCTTTCTCCCTTTCCCTTTCGTTTCCTGTTAGGCTGCGTTTACACCGCAAGCTGTGATACTCGATTATAGCGTCGATGAGGGCGAAGCGTAGAAATATGTTTCATTGTTTTACTATAGAAACGTTTAGACATTGAATTTCAGTGAAAGAATTTGAAAAAGAACAGTTTCTCCGCTGACACGGAATTTTGACCAGCGTTTTACAATCGTATTACGCGCTGCACGTTACACATTGTATTCAGTTCAGTACGAAAATATGATAATAAGAAACACATAGTAAATAATACATTGCGTTATTAACGTGTTCCGTTCTTTTCGCGTGGCACACGCGACAAGCGGCGTTTCGAAAGCGTGTAACAGCGTATTTCACGCTGTTAAACGTTCGTGTAGTCGGCTACATTAAAATACACAGTTTATGTTTCAGTTTATATTTATATTTCGTGTTATACACGCCGCGTGTAAAACGCTCGTGAAGCCCTAGCTTTACGTCGATGCGGCGATTAAAACGACGAGCACCGATCGAAGCGTCGATAAGTATTATTTCTTTGCTCTGGTCGCCTCTGTAATGGGTGTAGGGATATATTAATGTCCGAAATGGTTAGATGTTTATTAGATCTTGCTACATGGACTGAACAACAGAAACCATGCGATTATCGCAGCTCTACTAGGGCCTATGCACACGAACATTGTGGTATCGCGGCAGTGGACGCTGCCGATTCTGTAGCGCGAACATTGTGGGCATTCGGTTCTTTTTCTTTCTAAATCGACTAACTTTCGATATACAGTGACCGAAAAAGATACTCATACACAGTCGCATTCCAACTTTAACTTAAAATTATTTTACTACAATACAACGAGATCAAGACTTTTTCGCATAAAAGTGCTCAGAATAATAATATATTTCAAATAATATTTATTTCATTGAACTGTATAGATATATTGACAAAATAACAAATAGAGTTAGCAAATATTACGAAAATAACATGGGAAAAACTATTCATACACTTGTTACCTTAATTTAATTAAAAATATTTGTATATATACATTTGTATATATACAGTTTAAATTTGTTAAATAACTACTTAGGTAATCCTATTAAAGTCAACAAAATATCAAAGTACATTTACTTCGGCATTTCCGATTATGTAGAAAGTGAAGGTAACGAAGAGTCTACGGAAGGAAATGAATTGTTGGACAACGATAAATGTTTACCCATTAAAAGCATTGAAAATGAAAATGGAATATTTTTATGTGAAGATAAATATTTTCCTCGGAAAATATTAAGAATGTAATTTCTCATATTAATGAGCCTACCAGGTCAAGCGAAACTCGATACATTTACTTTGTTCCTGAATTAGATTTTGTATGGAATTAACTTCGTTTCATTTGTATTTGTCCTGTTAATTGTAATTTGTCATAATCGTCGCAAATAAACGATATTAAAGTAATCACTTCTAGTGTTTTTGGTTTTACTATAAGTGTTCTATTACTAACATATGATCAATTACTACAATAGTTTTCTCGTTTTCAAGGATAGCCAACTTCTGACGCAGGTATTCAATTTTCAAAAATGTCTGTAAAATTTTGATAATACAACTATTTCAAAAAAGTTCGCTTTGTTAAATAATGTAAGGATAACGCGCAAGCGTTTATTATTATTCACGCAGAAAATTTGTCTTAGTTGGTCAACTACTGGTGCTTTTACCTTATTTGAAATAGATTGAAAGATCTGTTGCGAACACGCAGCGATCGTTGTGCGAGTTTCGATGTAGCCTCTAATGTTTAGAAAATGATAAACGATCATTGCCACACCGTTTTGTCAATCGCGCGAAATCGCGGTGTAGCTAGCGGTCCGTATAATCGATTTTACGTACATATATATACCACATACACAGAGCAAATTTCACCTTAAACAACATTTACAATGGAGAAAAAGGAAATATGTACAGTGAAGAGCAGAACTGTACCAATAACCACACATTACAAGCGAACAATTTTTACTGTCATGAGAGCTTTGGTATTCAAAAACTAATTAGAATAGAAACATGTAGCAGAATTTAAAGTAACTCAATCAGTTTTTTAAAATATTAAATATTTTTTAGTTTACTTGTAATAAAAAATATTCATTGGTACAGTTTTGCACCGATGTATATAAAGTAGGTCAAGTTCTAGTAATCTTTATATTATAATAAGGTTTACATTCAGTCACCTTAGTATGTAAAATACATTTATCATATTAATATTTTCTATATATTGCTATTAATAAAAATAAAAAACTATTTATTCGTAACGTGTGGTCATTGGTGCGGTTATGCTTTTCACTGTATATTTGTCATCCTTATCGCGACGCGTTGCGATTACGCAGGCACCGTTGTGACGTTGGCTCTGCGGTTTGACAAATGACGTGAAATAACTGCTACACCGTTTTGTCAATCGCGCGGGATCGCGTCGCTCGTATGCATAGACCCTAAACGAAAGAAAGCTATCTTGAATAGTCTTTATCGCCGCTATGATCGATACTCTCTTTGCTAGTGTTGAAGTTGCGGTGTAAACGCAGCCTTATTCTCGTTGCACACGCTGTTACACCGGTCGTGTTATC